TATCTCAAATCGGTGTGCCTGGGATGAAGAGCCACCTCCACTTTCAATCCAGTTTCTTGCTAAGGGACTTCAAGGCAACAGATAATGACCCTAGGACTTGAGCATTAATGTTCCCATCCCAGATGGAGTTACTGGCTCCTGGGTTCAACCTGGCTCAGTTCCTGCCTTTGAAGGCATTTGAATGGCACAGTAGCAGACACAGTAACACTCTTTCCCTGTGTTTTATGTGTGTCTGTCTTTGTCTCTCTGTATCCTTTAAATAAGAATTTTTAGAAATTTATTTGAGAGATACAAACAGAAAGAGATTTCTTATACAGAAGTTCACTCCCCAAATTATTGCAACAACCAAGGAGAGTCACAGCCGTAGCCTGGAGCTGGGAATTCTATCTAGGTCTCCTGTGCAGACAGCAGGGACCCAGTTATCTGAGCCATTGCCCATTACCTCCCATGGTCTGCATTAGCAAGAAGCTGGAATTGGGCGCTAGAACTGAGAACTGAACACAGATACTCCAGAACTGAACAGTACCTCAGCTGTGAGCCCCAGTGTCCACCCTGTAGACTGGGTTTTTAAAAAGGCAATTAAGTTAAAATGCAGCTGTTAGGTCTTTTGCAACATGCCTGGCATCCTAATAAGGTAGCCAGCAGGAGCAGAAAGTACACACAGGATGGGTCATGAGGGGTAGCAAGAGGGTGGTTGCCTGCAAAGGCACGGGGAGGTCTCAGGGTCAATCAAGCCCGCTAGCACCTTGACCTTGGATTCCACCCAACCTAGAATAGTGAGAAACTAAATTCCCCAGTTTGTGATATCTTGCTAAGACAGCCCCGCTGGTTGACTCAGACACCCAACCTCCAAAAGGTGAGGGAAAATAGCTTGCTGTTGCTTAACATGGATGAGTTCATCTTTGAAAAGACTTCTTCAAAAGTCATGTTTGTTTTGATGTCTGTATTATCTAAGTGCATATCATCAGGTTTATTTCTGTACAAAATGTGCATCCATGAGATTCTTCATCGAATCTGAGGGTCTATGCTTTTACTAGGAACACTCTTTTTCATGTCCTATTATCACTCCTTTAGAAGCCAGTTTCTCAGCATCCAGGGATGAGAACTGGAGAGATCCATTACCTCTTGGATGGTCAGGAACCAGGAGCTGCCCTAGCCTGGCTTCCTGAGGAAAAGACTCAGGGAGCAATCAGACCACCATGGAAATGCTTTCAAGGAGTGAGTGGATCAGCACAATTCAAGATCAAAGCATGGTGTTTCAGGATCCACCCACACAGGCAAAAGCAAGGGAAGGGTCATGAGGAAGGGAAAGCAGATCTAGAAAACAATTGTTGTGAAGTCCTCCACTCAGGGGGAACACTGAAGGGCTCAGTTACAAGGGTGGGAAAGCTGTTTCCTACCCAGGACTGACTGGAGATGTGTCATGTCCTTCGTAGGCGATACCAAATGATCAATTTCAAAATTAGCCTGCTGTAAATTTATTGAATTTCAAGTCCCTCCTGTGGTTACCCTGGAAGGGCCAGTCCAAACACAATGATTTTACAGGCCAGATGTTGGCCTTTCTTGAACCAACAGCCTCAAGCTCCCCAACAACGTCTTCCCAATTCTCTGTCGGCTCTGCTGCTGGTCGCACAAATAAACTGCTGGCCTCTAACTTACTTTCCCTCTCTGCTTGTCTTCAGCACTGATTTAGAAAACCAGACTCCTAGGTACATGTCAGCTTACAATTTTATGAAACACATATTTTAATCTCTGATTATCAATGCAAGAACAAAATGAAGTCTTTAACCTATCTAGCAGCAATTAAAGAAATTCCACATGCTTTTTACTTTAGCTTACATTTTACTTAAAAAATACCACAGTCCCAATTTATCATAAAAACAGAAGATTGGGCCTGGCATGATAGTGTAGTGGTTAAAGTCCACGCCTTGCATGCACCAGAATCCCATATGGGCACCGGTTCTAATCCTGACGGCTCTGCTTCCCATCTAACTCCCTGCCTGTGGCCTGGGAAAGTAGTCAAGGACGGCCCAAAGCCTTGGGACCCTGCACCCGTGGGAGACCCGGAAGAGCTCCTGGCTGCTGGCTTCAGATTGGCTCAGCTCCAGCCATTGCAGCCACTTGGGGAGTGAACCATCAGGCGGAAGATCTTTCTCTCTGCCTCTCCTCCTCTCTGTACATCCGCCTTTCCAATAAAAATAAATAAATCTTAAAAGATGAAGTTTTTAAAGCAAATTTTTGTTTTTTAAAAAATGAAACACAACACCAGTTGCAGCTTTTACAGTCAATGTTGTGACTATTTTTTAAAAAACACATTGGAATTGACTTCACAGGGACTAGAAATCCTTCTGTATACTAAATTTATGTTTCTAAGTTAATTTAGATTAACTTAATGCCTTGTAAAAATGTCTTTGAATAACTTTTTAAAGATTGATTGATTGATTTGAGAGGCAGAGAGACAGAGAAAGTGAAAGAGATCCTCCATCTTCTGGTTCATTCCCTATATGACAACACCAACCAGGACTGGGCCAGGACAAAACTGAGAGCCAGGGATGCCAGCCAAGTCTCCCATGTGGGTGGCAGGGAGCCAAGTATCTGGGTCATCTGCTGCTGCCTCTTCTTGGGTGTGTTAGAGGGAGCTTGAAATGAAGTGGAGCAGCCAGGGTTCAAATCACCTTTCTGACATGGGATGGCAACACTGAACAGTGGTGTAAGCTGCTATGTCATAGTGCTGGGCCCCCATTTGAATAATTCTTAAGGAAAGCTGCATGAGGGAAACTGCTGCTGAATTTAGATATCTAGAAATATATTTCCACGGCTTGAACTCATACATTACAATTTTCTTGGGATAGAATGCTTAGACCAGGCAATTTTGTATTGCTAGGAATGCATATTACTCCATTTGAAGATCGTGAATAAAGACTGAAGCTAGCCTAATCTTTCCCCATTTTGAGTAAATTATGTCTGATCACTTTTATGATATCCTTGTTATTCTAGTTTTCTGGGTTATATACAAGTTTGGGATTTATTCCATTTGGATATGGATTTTTTTTTTACACTCAAGATTTTTTCTTACAGATACAGAATAAAAAGTAGATTATTTCAGGAATATTTATCATTCATAGGTTCAATTTTTACCATTTTCTCTCTGTGATTGCTTTCTTCTATAATTTTACCTCCTACTTTTTTTTCCTTATACAGTCTGGAAAACCTGGTGCACTTTGTGTTTTCCCCGTTATTTTTTTTTTTTCAGCACATTTGTAGCATGTTTACCTTTACTATCATTCTTCTCTTGTTTTGACAGGAGCCAAGGTATGTGGAGAGACCCCACCCACCCACCTAAATGTGCTGTTGGGGTCTGCTGGATGGACGGACCTGCACAGCCCCCATCCAACTCCTGGCAGGGTCTCAGCCCGAGTGGCTCTGACTTGCAGGGGAGCTCCTGACAACATCTGGCTCCCAAGATTCTTCTGCCTTTAGAACACTCGCTAGGAGCATGCAAGCGCCTTGCTTCCTCTTCCCTTACCTCTGCATTGTGCTAGGAGACATGATGTGGCTCCTGCAGGGACCCACTCTGGCCTTCTTGGCACCTGCTTCCCCAGGCAGAACTGAAGCCTGGATTCTGGCTACAGCAGCCCCAATCCCCTCTATCTTGACAGAGAGGGGCGATGAGTGGGATGGTGGCATCTGGTTGGCTATCCCGCTCTGGATTAGAAGATGAGACAGACATTGCTAGGATGGGGTTGACATGTCTTCAAACCAACCCCACTGGCACAGAATTTGGTAGAAAAAGCCCTCAAGACTTTTGCCAAGACTTTCTGACACAAGGTGCTGGGGTCCGTGCAGTAGATGTGGGGGACATGAGGGGCTGAAGAGTGTCCCATTGCAGGCAGGGCCACAAGGAATTTCCTGTCTCTACAACCACCTGAATGCAACTCCACCTTCTTTTGCATGGACACTGGACCACCCTGCGGAAGAATTCTAATCCATCCTGGCATTTGCTACTGTGAGGTTAACCTTTTGCTCAGCCTGAGCTTGGAGATCAATGTCTTGCATATGGGGCCCTTTATCATTCCTATTGTCTTGGCTGTCCCCATTGAACCTATGCTAATCAAGGGATCTCAAATGGGGCCCTTTATCATTCCTATTGTCTTGGCTGTCGCCATTGAACCTTTGCTAATCAAGGGACCTGTATTTAGGCTTTCATTCTTTCCTTGATCTTTAAGTTCCCCTTTTTCTTTGTGGTACAAGATTGAGTTGTAGGATAAAAATCTGTAGCAGGAAATTCTAGGTAATGTTAGCAGGAACTTCTATTGTTTCTAGGTAAAACTAATGGCAGAATTATCCTTAGAAACACCCACTGGGTAAAAAGTCTGAGCCAGAATTTGGCTGATTTTGTATAAATAAAGCAGACAGCTTTCATGCGTGGTCCATTATGATCACAAAGTCCTAGTGGTCCATCTCTTTCTTTCTTTCCTCTTTGCGCCTCATCCACACACCCTTCGCGAGTTCCGAACTCAGCTGGAGCTGGACTCTGGCAACAAGGTTTTATGAGTGTGCAGAGTTTTGTGTGCTTTTAGTAAGAAATGAGTGGATCTCTGACTAACCCAATGACTCATTTTTACGTGTGCCTACCTGATGTACTTCAACCCCCAGGTCCAGAGTATGCCATAGTTGTTACCCACAGAAAGCAATGATTTTTCAATTTCAACAAGAGCTAAGAATCACTCCACCCGTTATCTCCCATGTCAGCCAAACAATAAATACTGTAAATACAGGGGACTTGTAAAAGTCGATCTAAAGGGGTTTCAACAGTAGCACCCTGACCTCTTGAGCAAGTAAGGCTGTCCCACACAATGTCCTGGAGGAACGCCACCCATGGCTCCAAGCCTGTTACAAAGCTGACTCATCCTCTGCTACTTTTAGCTGCGGCTAGTTTGGCAGCAAGGATATGCCCTCAGCACGTTCAAAGAGAGAAATCCAACACAATGCATCTTTACCTTATAATACATCCTGGCCACCAAACTCCGCCGAAGAACCCTTTCCCGGAAATTCACTGCCTTCAGCAGGAAGGCGAGCTCACCAACTGTGTCCATCGCAATTGCCAGGAAACTGCAAGAAAAGGTGAGAAGATCATTATGACTTCGGCTTCACCAAAGTATTTCAAAGGAAATAAAGGAGAGGCTTTTTGTGTTTCAAAACACAAAAAGTTCCTGCCATAGAACAGTCATGTAGATTGCATATAGCCATCGATGTCCCATCCCCTCTCTCAATGGCTGTGTCTGTGCTTCTGTTCATAACTTTGCTAATGAAAGCTGGGTTCCAATTGATTCTATGTTGTCACCCTTGTGGTATATAGATAACTTGTTTCCTATCTTTTCCAATTCCTAGTGCATTAAAGGTAATGTACAAGATTTCATTCAGTCTTCACTAACATACATAATCTATCAAATGTAAGCTTACAATAATTTGTTCAACAATTGTTTGGCATTGATTACAAAAATTACTACAGTGAAATGTTAACACCTATGTCCTTCACAACGCATTTGTCAGTGAATATGAGGATATTTTGAAAAGTTCATGGGAAATGAATATTATAAAGAAATTGTGTGGATTTCAAAAGATTTTTGCACCAAAAATAAGCATCTACTTTAAAAAAGAGAGATTTATTCATTTTTATTGGAAAGACAGATTTACAGAGTGAAGGAGAGACACAGAAAAAGATCTTCCATCTGCTGGTTCATTACCCAAGTGCCTGCAGTGACCAGAGCTGAGCTGATCCAAATCCAGGAGCCAGGAGCTTCTTCTGGGTGATCCACCTGGACAGAAAGTCCTAATGCTTTGGGTCATCCTCTATTGCTTTCCCAGGCCACAAGCAGGGAGCCGGATGGGAAGTAGAGCAGCTGGGACATGAACTGACACACCCATATGGGATCCTAGTGCATGTAAGGCAAGGACTTTAGCCGCTAGGCTACTGTGCTGGACCCCATAATTTATTTGTTTGTTTGTTTTTAGATAACAGAGAGAGAGAGATTAGAGTAGACAGACAGACAGACAGACAGACATAGCTTCCACCCACTGGTTCAATCCTCAAATATTCCCAGCATCTGGGGCTAGGTCAGGTCGAAGCCAGGAGCCAGGAACTTAATCTGGTCCATCACTTCGGCAGTTGGAACCCAACTACTTGAGCCATCAGTTTTGTCACCCAGGATACAGGATGCAGGATGCAGGAGTTAAGAGCCAGACCCAGGACTGAGGCCCAATGTCCTGATATGGGACACAGATGTCTGGGTGTCACACTTGGTGTCTGAACTGCCAGGCCCCCACCAAAGCAGCTTTCATACCCATTGTTCCATGAGCATTCGAAGCACCTTTGAACGGTGATTACAGTTATGATGTATCAAGAATGGAGCCAGGCATTTGCTGTGAATTATTCCACATCCTCAATCACTCTAGGATGCAGTTGCCATAGTTTCATCAAATATAATTCAGGAAACAGGCTGAGGTTTGGTAAATTGCTCAAGGTTTAGAAGCAGAGCACAGCCAGGCTTGGGTTTTCTCTAGTGAAACACCAGGCGCTGAGGGAGCAGGACTTTTTTTTTTTTTCAAAAGGCAGTCATTTTTACCTTCCCCAGGAGGAAGTGGAGGGTACAGAGGCAGTAGAAGATACCAGCACAGACTATGAACACTCAAGTTCCCTCAAAACTCCTTGAGTGTGTCCCATTTTGCAGCTCTGCCTCTTGTTTGCATTCTACCTCCTAAATAGGTAACCTAGAGAAACAGGTAAGGGATTCGCGCACCCTTGAGGTTCCCCACAGCCCAGCCACCTCTCGCTTCCTGCTCAGCCACCTCCTTAGAAAGTAAAGTGTCATAAGACTTCATGTTTCCATGAAGCAAACATTAACAACCCAAGGAACAACCCTTTGCTTACTCAGAGGGCCTGGGGAAATTTCAGGAAACAAGGACAGAGGCTTTTGAGCATGCTGAATGCTGAGTTAATAATTGCTTTCCATTCTGGCAAGGATGTTGGGAGAATATTTGGGGTCAATTACCAGAGAATCTAAATTCTATCAATTCTTATTTTCAAGCTGAGCTTTAGAAGGTTGAGTTTCTGCCTGTTTATTTAACAAAAGGCATCAAGAATTCTCCCATTTTTCTGAACAGTAATTTTAGCCATTACTAGGAACCTGGAGGCCAGGAATGCTGTTATTGGAAGCCACCTTTCCTGGGATATTTATTATATATCCTGTAAGGCCAGCCGGGTGGAAGGGAGAGCGGCGACCTGCTGGAGGCCAGCAGATGAGGGAAGGGACAGGCTGATGCAAACAAGTCAGGGGACTACAATACCCAGAAGCCCCTGCCTGGACCGGAAGAGATGTATGGGTTGACCAAGCCAGAGTGAACCTATCAGCGCTAACATTACCATATAAGGAAAAGTTCCTTCCCCTGCTGAGCCTCAACCCACTTCCTGTTTGAACCTGAGTATAAAAGCCCTGGTTCACAATCCCCGGTGTGACTGCCGTGGCCTTGCGTCTGTGCTGGACGAGTGACCCTTGCCCAGGAGCACTCCCAATAAAGCTCGCTTTGAGCTGAGCATTTATTCCTTGTGGATTCTTTCACCGGGAACTTGGATTAGACATTACATTTGGTGCCAAAACCCTGGAGGAATGTGCTGCCTCCTAGGTTCCCCGCTGAAGCAGCTCTTTCCATGGATCAGGGCCCCAACTGGACCTCTGGTTCTTCCTCTGAACAACCTGGCAGTGTGGGTTAAGTTCTCCCCTAATCTCTTGTACGCCTCTCCGTTCTGGGGCTTCCCTGTTTCGTGACCAGACCACTAAATCACAGCTATATCAGAGATTCCCTTCTGTGCAGTCCAGGACTGTACTCTGGGCCTCACTCAGCAAGTGCACATCCCAGTCGAGTGACGAGCCATTCCGTTTGCTGGACAGACAACCCATGGTGCCACCGGCAGTTTTTGACTGCCCAGTCCGGGGCCTCAGAGGAGAATATAGAGAACCCTGGTCTAAATTTCACTGTAGTTCGCCCTTAGGGTGTCTCCTGGTTAATCTCAAAGCCCTGGGACTAGCCCAGGACCTCCGTGCAAAAGTTGGTCTTTTACTCTACTGTGGCCTGGCCACAGTCCAAACTGGATAACCAGTCATGCTGGCCAGCTGAGGGGACTTCTGATTTTAACATCCTCTAAGATTTAAATGACTACTGCTACAGGGTGGGGAAGTAGGGGGAGGTTCAGTATGTGCAAGCCTTCCAGATGTGGTTCACTAGGAGCACCCTGGAGTTTGCAGATAGGGACACTACTAGAACTCCTCTAGTCTTAGAAGACCAATCCTCCCCTCTTACTGAATGCTCAGAGAACTTGTCCTATCCTGCCGTGTCCCCAACACCTTTATATCCAGAACCAGCACCACCATTACCCATGCCTGCCCCACCCAAGCCAGAAGTCTCCTTGACTCCGCTGGTTGCTCCTCCTACTTTTAATGGGCCCTCCCCTTCCTCTCTCTATCCCCTGCTTCCAGTTTGTGCCTTGTCCCCTTTTGCTAGGCCAGGGGAGGGACCTACAGAATCAGGTTCCACCCTCCCTGACCTGCAGGAGCAGTTCGCACTGCCTGCCACCCCACCCTAAGCCTACTCCTCTGCCTCCTTATAATAATCTTCCTTGTCCCTCTCTGGGACCCTGTCTCCTATCTTACCTTCTTCCCTCTCTCCCTTTTCATTCCTCTCTGTCTGATGGTTTCTGCTCTCCCCACTGGGGATCTGAACTGCCACAATCACCTCTTTAGACTCCAACTCAGACTATTTGTAAATAAATCTTTCATGGCCTATCAGGCATTGCTTACCACATATACTACTTCAATCAGATCGACAATGGCATGCTAGTTGCTGCGGGCGATGGGTGAGTGTAACCTCTCTCCCCAGTAGGTTCCTCTCCCTGTTTCAATTCTTGGACTTTATCCTCTGTGAAAATTTGAGGTTGCATTAATCCCACCACCATGGGATCTGGACATTCCAGCCAGGCTGGAGAGTTCAAGCCCCCAACAGAGTCACCAGTAAATTCTTCAAAAGTGTAATAAGAGAGATAATATACTTATGAGCATAAAACTGTAAAGCAGGGGCTCGTCCCATGGCTCAACAGACTAATCCTCCATCTGCAGGCACCAGTATCCCATATGGGCACTGGTTGTAGTCCCAGCTGCTCCACTTTCCATCTAGCTCCCTACTTACAGCTTAGGAAAGCAGTAGGGGATGGCTCCGGTCCTTGAGCCCTTGTACCTGCGAGAAGACCTAGATGAAGCTCCTGGCTCCTAGCTTCCAATTGGCTCAGCTCTGGCCACTGCAGCCATTTTGGGAGAGAACTAGCAGATGGAAGACTTCTTTCTGTCTTCCTTTCTCTCTGTAAACCTGTCTTTCAACCAAAAATAAATAAATCTTCAAAAAGCTTTGATGAAATAGAAAATAATGTAACAACATAAAGTATAAAAAAAGGGACAAACTGATCATTTGAAAAAGGATAACAAACCAAACGTCTGGTGAAACAGAACAACTATCAGAAGAGAAAAAGCACAAGAAGCAAGGAATGACAAATGGGAGATAATGAGAGATGCGACAGAACTTAAAAGTTAAAATATGATATGAAAAACCTCATACAGATACATTCACAATTAAATGAGTAAGTTCCTAGAAAATAAAATTACCAACACTGACACAAGAAGGAAAAGTCTAAATAGTCTTAAAATGATGACATTCACCCAATCAATAGTTTGGAATCTTCTACCAAGCTCAAATAGATCTTATATAACCTATCAAAATTTGGCACAGAATAAAAAGCTACTCCCTAGATTTGGATACGGCTTGAGAGTTCCCCAAGATATCATGGAATTATATGGAATTCTCACTGTAAGGCAGTCAGAAGGTGGAGACTTACTCTAACTCTGGTGTGCAGAGCTGAGGCTTTGTGCAAGGGGCTTGGTGGGGAATGATTTGGACATACGAACATCATGAGAGTGGGGTCCCCATGAGTAAATCCTGGTGGATTTGTAAGAAGTGATAGAAAGACTGAAATGACACCTGTGCACCAGCTCCCTGTCTTTTGGCCGTGGGATCCCCTGAACAACCTCAGGAGTCTGTCAACAAAGACTCTGTCACTAGATGTCGGTCCACCTCCTTGCCCTGCAGAACTGGAGGCCAAGACAGAGCCATCCTTTCCTTACAGCTCTCCCAGTCTGTGGTGCCAAGCATCAGCAGCAGAAATGGACGAGTACATGATGATAGTAGGAAGAACTGAGTGAAGTGAAAAAATTGGAAAAAATACACCAATACTAACAAGCCCAACCCAGGAAAACATAAGATGATAAGAGCATGAAAAAAATGGAATGCTTCCTGTGCATACAAGAGGAAGTTAACTCTAGAAAAGTCGCAAAGAATGCATATCAATCAGTAAAATAAAGAAGAAACACTATACAATCACATCAAATAGGTTCAAAAATCAATAATCACTCAGTAGCGAAAGAACATATTCAAAGCAACAGTAAGTGGAGCTTTTTCAGGAAGTCAAGTGTGACGATCAAAGAGCCAGCAAGTTAGCGGTGAAGTGTTAAGTGAATTCTTTTTAAAATCAGGAATAACATAGAAGAACACCTCCTATACCTGCTTCTATCCAAATTACGTCAGAGCTCCTACCTCTTGTGCAGTCAGACATGAATGATGTCATAAAGACAATAATTAGGAACAACTGAAAAAAATGTTTTTGCTTTTTTTTTTTTTACAGACAGCATGATTGCATGAAAAACTCCTAATGAATCTGCATGCACACTGAGAATTACTTTTTATAGTCAGACGTATATACAACTCCACCTATGGCTATAACTCACCAACAGCAACAACAAAACATCGTTTAGAAAGATATTCTTTTAACAACAGCTCCAGATTGTCAGGGAACTAATAATAAACCCATCAAAGGTTGTACTTAGAATGGAGAAGATGATAAAACCCTGAAAGACAAATCTCTGATATATTCACAATTCAAATATTTTGCAAATTTATAGCTTCAGTACACTTCAGTATACTTCTAAAGAAGATTCCAATAAATTCTGAAAATTGTGGAAAATATATACAGACCAAAAGCATTTACTATTTTTACCATTTCAAATTGAAAGTCCTGGACGATTAAACACATCCCCACCACTCGTCTCCAGACTTTCTCACCCTCCCAGAATGAATCTCTGTCCTTCAAACAGTAATTTCTTCCTCTCAGCTCCTGATAACCAACCTTCTAGATTAGGACTCTATGAAGTGGGCTACTAGAGCTAGTTCATATACACGCAGCTAGCAATGTTTTAATTTTGCTGCTGAGACTTTGCTTTGCTTTGTTTTTTTAAGAATTTGAGAAACCAATTTCAAATCTTTTTTTTAAAAGATTTATTTTTATTATTTTTTTATTGGAAAGGCAGATATACAGAGAGGAGAGACAGAGAGGAAGATCTTCTGTCCGATGATTCACTCCCCAAGTGAGTGCAACGGCCGATGCTATGCCGATCCGAAGCCAGGAGCCTCTTCCAGGTCTCCCACGCGGGTGCAGGTTCCCAAAGCTTTGAGCTGTCCTCGGCTGCTTTCCTGGGCCACAGGCAGGGATCTGGAAGGGAAGCAGGGCTGCCAGGATAGAACCGGCGCCCATTTGGGATCCCGGGCGTGCAAGGCGAGGACCTTAACCACTGCGCCATCGCGCCGGGCCCTAATTTCAAATCTTAAAGTGCAACATAGCCAGCACAATTGTGAATTGCATTTTGACGTAAAGACATAATTTGATGATGTAGTGATATTTCATTACAAACCAAGTGTTATGATAACATTGCGTTGACGGACCTAGGATGTACAAAATAGACAGTTCCCAGGACTTCCTGCATACATTGGCATCTTGGGGTCAAAGGCCAGCTCTGCCATTCTCTTGCCAGGTAACCCTGAGTAAAAACAGCTCCTCTGTGCCTCAGTTTCTCTCTGTGGAATGGAAATAGGAACCTACCTTGTGAAGGCTTAGGACTGAAATCTGTAGAAAGTGCTTGGATTAGTGAATTTGTCATAAAGAAGGAACAAAGTGAAAGGACAGGATTGGCAATATTTCAGTTCTTACATTGGGGCTGTGTGCATCAGCATAGATTTTATGTATTTGCCATTTTGTTGTTGTTGTTGTTGTTTATACCAAATGTTAAGCATTTCAAACAACAGAGCTATTCCCGGATGCAGCTCGAGAAAGCCTGGCTCAGTCATAAGACACCGAAGGCAGGAGGCAAGTGTCACCCAGAGCGAAACATACCTGGTTCTCAGTTTGTCACCCGCGGACTCCATCCAGCTTCGGAGCTGGCCACAGAGTGGATTCTCATCGTACTGCTTGGTGTATTGAGTCAGCAGTTCCCGAACCACCACCTGTGCCAAGAATTCACATGATCAGCCATGGCTTAGAAATGTAATAAAAGCTAGTGTGAGGTCCAGTCAAGTCTACTGGCCACAAGCAAACCCCTCGGAAGGATCCAAATACATGACGCCATCACCGCTGGCCTGTGTTTCTCATGGCCAGCGGGTGGTGTTTACCACGTTACTCTCCATCCCTCTGACCGCTCACTTCCAAGGACCTCTTCATGGCTAACAGCGGGGGCTCTCCTCCCCGATGTGTCTCATTATCAACTACTGCAGTTGACATATTTGAGGAAACCTGCTTGCCTTTAACCCTTGACCTTCTTTTGGCCTTGGGGAACAGAATTTAAAAATATATATAAAAGAATCCTTAATGATCTTCTCCCTCAGCAGCATGCTTTTCCAAGTCCTCATCTCCTGCTGAAGAGAGAGGCTCACTGAAGGGCAGCAGTGAACCGCCTGACAGATGAGTAAGCCTACCCTGGACCAGCCTATCTTCTCTGAGCTCCTACAGGATGCTGCCAAGGTGAGACTGATGTCAGCTCAGAGCAGCGGAAGCACCACCCTCATGGAAGCTCTGCCCTCACTGCTGGCCTACACATTGTTGAGCTAACGAGCCATTGTTAGTACTGAAGTTTTGTTACAAATTTCACAAACAGCTGCTAATTCATTCTCGGTCAACTCGCAGGTTTAGACTCTTGTTTCACAGGCACACATTTCTATATAGATTATACAACTATATAGATTATAACAAAATGTTATACATATTTTCAATCAGCAGTCTATCCTAAGTGATAGATTTGGTTTGCATGACTGTCTAGGATGTTATGTATCTGTTCTTCCTTGGAAAAATCATAACTAGTTGAATAGTCCCCTTTCAGTAGGATGCTTATATTGTCTGTACTTTTATACTGTCCTAATGACCTTCATATCAATGCATTCAGATCAGGGGTAGTATCGCCACGTGATAACCCAGAATAAATCCCTGTGTGCTTGAATAAGAGGTCCTTAAGGCAGATCATCACAGGAGTGCTGGAAACTTGGCGAGGCATTTTTTGCATGAGGAGTTTTATTAGAGTGGTGCATTATGTTATACAGTCTCAACTAACACACAAGTGTTGCTGTACCCAGTCCCGGTGAATGCTTCATTTACAAATGCAAGCAATTGGGAGTTGAGGTCCTCCTGATGTCAGGTCAGTGGAAGGATTAAACTCCTCTGCCTCCTTGAATCGAGAGGTGCTTCAAACCAGAAGGTACTTAGCCATTCTCTCCTTTCCTGTTACCATGGCAGCCTGCAGAGTTCCCCATTGGTCCCGAAGCCTGAGCTTCCTTCTGCATTTGTGGTTTCCATGGCTGTCCTTATGTATGCATACACTGTTATGTCTTCTTATGGGTTGTGTCTGTTATCAGTGACTTCCCTTTGGTTTCCTTGGAGTACTGTCTTATATTCTTGGCATTAAACCTCTAGACTGGTTACATGATCCATGATGTCACTGCAGGCTACTAAAGGGAGGGTTGCAAAAATATCATCAGGCAAGAAGTCCAGTGGGATTGAAAAGCACCATAGGACAAGTCAAAGAGCATGAATGCTTCCACGGCGGCTGCTGTAGAAAATTCATGTGAAAGCCAAGCACTGCCAGAGGCAAGAAAAATAAGGAAAATGAGCTCACCTGCACTAAAATTACAATCAGAATGATACAGCAGTTAGGTTCAGTTTTCCTGACATTGGGATCAACATTTGTACATGCTTACTGATCTATTTGGAGTATGATGACTCTAATTTCATCTCCCTCTTGCTGCAAAAAAACAGCATTTGAGGGCCCAGCACAACAGCGTAATGGTTAAAGCCCTTGCCTTGCAAGCACCAAGATCCCATATGGGTGCTGGTTCTAACCCTGGCAGCTCCATTTCCCAACCAGCTCTCTGCTTGTGGCTGGGAAAGCAATCAAGGATGGTCCAAAGTCTTGGGACCCTGCACCCACATGGGAGCCTGGAAAGAAGTTCCTGACTCCTGGCTTCAGATTGGCACAGCAACGGCCATTGCAGCCACTTGGGGAGTGAATCATCAGACAGACAGGCACTCTGTCTCTCCTCCTCTCTGTACATATGCCTTTCCTTTTTTTTTTTTTCCAAATGTGCACCCAAATAGTGAAAATACTATTATTTTTATTTCTTTGTAAAACTACTACTTTTTTAAAAAAAAATATTTGAGTGTAGTGTTTATTATTAAAACTGGCTTTTTTTTTCCCCAGTAAACTTTTTTTTAATTGCATTGCATTATGTGACACGGTGTTATAGGCATTGGGATTCCCCTCACCCCTACCTGAACCCTCTCCCCATGGTGGATTTCTCCACCTTGTTGCATTACCACAGTTCAAATTCAGTTGAGGTTCTTTCATTGGAAGTATTTACCAAGCATAAAGTCCAGCATCTTATTATCCTAGTGAGTTCAACAATTTCTTGGTGAGACCATCTCTGGTCTGAAGGTAAAGCCAGCAAAGTATCATCCCAATCAATTAAAAGCCCCAACATAACATCAACAACGATTTACAACATTATGGCATCAATTGACATGGTATTGATTAACCAATATGTTAACAGGCATTTCCAATAAAATGAATAAATCTTAAAAAAAACAAATATCAAAAATATTTCTTTTGGTGGCAAGTATTTGGCCTAGTAGGTAAGACCCAGAAAGGATGTCCACACTCCATACAGGAGTTCCCAGGTTTGACACCCAGCTCTGGCACCTGACACCAGCTGCCTGCAGACGCTGGAGCAGTGATGGCTCCTGTTACCCACGTGGGAAATCTGACTGAATGAATGACTCCTGAGTGAATCCAGGGATTGGAGCTTCCGCCATGGCTCTCTGGTTCTGAGACTCTTTAAATGTTTCTTTTTCCAATTGCCACCCTAGGCTTTCCCTAGTTTTGCTTTTTGGTGTAGTAGGGTTGCTGCTATCTGATGACACAGATCTCAATTCATCCATTGCTCAAGGTCCTACGGCTGCCCAGAGCATAGTGCTAGGAGACAGAGTGCAGTCTGTCGTAGGACCATCGGACAAGGCATGACGGAGTTCGGAGAACCATCCTTCAAGTGTGAATGAATCAGTAAGTCCTCTTCCCTGTTTTCAACACCCCCTCCAGTGTGTTCTATTCCTTAATTCCCTTTATCCTCCATCACCAGTTTCTTCTTTCTGACTGAAGCAACACAAGATAGGAAAATCAATTCAGTCCAGACAGGATCCAAATTAGGTATAGAAATTAGTTGTTTTATTCTGAAGAGAGAGAGAATTGGATATTGCTTCTTCTCACAAAAGCATGCCACCCATTTTGGAGTCTTTGCTTTTTTCCTAGGTCATGAGCCAAGGAAATATAACTTATAAGATGAGGTTATCTTCTGCTCTTGATGCTGCCTGGGAGGAAAAGGTTAAGTGATGAAAGCTATGAGCTACCATGGAACATGGGTGTTATGGTTTCTAAATCCAATACTTTGGGCCTGGCATGATGGCGCAGTGGTTAAGGTCCTCGTCTTGCACGCCCGGGATCCCATATGGGCGCCGGTTCTAATCTCGGCGGCCCTGCTTCCTATCCAGCTCCCTACCTGTGGCCCAGGAAAGCAGTTGAGGACAGCCCAAGGCTTTGAGACCCTGCACCCGCGTGGGAGACCTGGAGGGGTATCTGGGCTCCTGGCTTCGGATTGGCACAGCACCAGCCGTTGCGCTCACTTGGGGAGTGAATCATCGGACAGAAGATCTTCCTCTCTGTCTCTCCTCTCTGTATATCTGCCTTTCCAATAAAAATTTAAAAATAAATAAAAAAAATAAATCCAATACTTTATGTGATAAATTACAGAAAGGAGATAAAGACAGATTGGTCACCACCTTTACCAAGCATGTAAAGATGTGCTCCCACTTTCTTCACAGATTCATTGCTGACTGCAATATATTTTGTAAATATAAGTAACTTTCCATTTCAAAATGCCAACAAGAAGTTGCAAAATTAAGATAGTACAGATTCCCCATATATATCATCCCACTTGTCCACAAAGTGGTCTTTTACATGAAAAGAATGGTTATCAAAGGCAGGAAAATAAATCAAATTTTGCATTCATTGAATGTTTTCGTTGCAATACAGATTTTGTTATTTAAGTTGAACCTGGTAGTAGAACTTCTGTAAAAACAAAATGCTGTTTGCAATACAAATGATCTCATCCTCATCTTAGATTTATGCTTTTCTAGGGCAGATTTTCTTAAAACAACCAGTAATTTCACAGGCATTTGGCACTGTGGTGAAGAAGCTGCTTGGGTCACCCATGTCTCACACTGGAGTGCCCAGCTGAGGCCCCAGCTAAGCTCCCAATTCTAGCTTCCTACTAGCATGTGCACTGGAAGGTGGCGAGTGATGACTCATTTCCTGGGTCCCTGCCAACTACAGGAAGACCTGTATCTTTTTTTAAAGATTTATTTATTTATTTATTTATTTTACCGCAAAGTCAGATATATACAGAGAAGGAGAGACAGAGAGAAAGATCTTCCATCCAATGATTCACTCCCCAAGTGAGCGCAATGGCTGGTGCTGTGCCGATCCGAAGCCAGGAGCCCAGATACCCCTCCAGGTCTCCCATGCAGATGCAGGGTCCCAAAGCCTTGGGCTGTCCTCGACTGCTTTCCCAACCACAAGCAGGGAGCTGGATAGGAAGCAGGGCTGCCAGGATTAGAACCGGCACCCATATGGGATCCAAGACTTTAGCTTCTAGGCCACGGGGCCAGACCCAGGAAGATCTGTATTAAACTCCTGATTCCAGCTTAGGTTTTGCTCAGCCCCTGCCATTGCAAGAATTAGGTAAGCTAATCAGTGTTTGGTAATCCACTTCCTCTTTCTCTCATAGATAAAATAATTAATTTTAAAAAGAATCCTTTACATATATATCAGCTTGAGATGCAATTTCAGCCTTGGTGATGGTGGGTGCTATATCTGTCCTTCTTCCCATGGCTCTCTAACTTAAAAACG